GCTAGGTTTCTGAACAAGCGGGCCATCTGAAAACAAGCCACGCGGCCGCGTTACCACCCACCTAGAGATCCTTCAGTGAAGGAGAGCTCTCAATGATGGATATTAGTAGACTTTGGTAGATACAGGAAATGTTTCAAAATAGAAGGGTAATGCGAGCCTCCTCAAAGGTCTCAATTACTCTTTTCAATGATATGAAGGGAGGGTGAATCAAGAGTACTTCTAAACAACTGGAACGGCTCTAAGCTACCCGTTCCCTTTCATTCAATGTTCCTTACCTTTTAACAAAGAACTTCTTCAGATCCCCTTTTGCTCAATTTCCTTTTCACATCCTTTCACTGTAAACGAGAATTATCCCTAAATCGTTGGGTTGTTAGAGGATTGTGATCCATTTATTCGTTTGAAATCTGAAACGTCTGGAGTGTGATGCTTCCCATAGGTGCAGATCGTTTTTCATGCGAGTCCAGACATGGGAATATTGATGATGAGAAAAGCCAATTCGCAACAATCAACACGTAGTATTGCTATCCAGGGAACAAGCTGAAATCAAAGTGGAGCGGTGATCTTCTATTACTTCTACTTACTCTACTGTTTTGATGACCGTTGCCGGAGCGCAGGTAGCAGTACTGCCAAAAATAAGGGTTTTTCGTACTAAAAATAAACTAAAAAATAAATTTCCTTTCTTACTTTTCGTATTTGTTGTATCCCGAAGTTAACGAGATAGGGTCGAAACTTCAACCACGGATTGGACTCGAACTTGTACTTGTGCTTTACTGACACTGTGCTCTTAATCCTTTCCACAACATACTTCGGAGTTTTCGCCGGTGATTGTGGGCAACTTACTTTTATACTAAATTTTTTAAAGGAAGAGCTATCTATACCTTCAGATCTAAGAATATGTTCGCAGCAGCCGGAATTCCCCGAAAACTGGCCAAAGCGGTCAGCGCTAGACATGAAAAAGTAGAATCCTTATTTTGAGCTTTCTTATCCTCTAGAACTCTCGTACATCATACGTCACACTATATTTATATGATGTTTATGAACAAATGTAGCATCGCATGAACAGCAGGCATGCATTGCATCCGCATGTGCGTTTCGTCCAAGAAAGCTGATATCTCCGGAATTTGTTCCCTCATTTTGAATTTAACGCAAAGTTGATAGAATAGATCTTAGAAACGTCAAGCGTTTGTAACTGCTAACTAGGGGGAGTAGTCATAAGTGCTTTCAGTCATGATTAAACGCTATATATGTCACATCATGGAGGGAGGTACTTAAACCTGACATGCTTCCTACAATTCTAAGAAACGTGAACCTTTTAGAGAAGAGATCAACTCATAAAAAGTTCTACCTAATAAGGAATTTCATTAATTTCCACAGGATCAAACTATTTGATTGACAAAAATTCTTCATGTTCATCGAAAGAAATCAAATAAATAAGCACTTTGTCAAAATATCTGATCGCCTAGAAAGGAGAATCTGCTAGAACCTTCAAAGAAATTGCACAATGTTAATATTTTTATTAGAACTACATGTTGAACAAGTTTTTTTTTCTTTTGACGAGCCTCTTGCGATCTTTGTCAAATGACAATTCTTTCCACAACTATTTTTATTCACCTCAATGCTATTTTTGGTAAATGAGTACAAATTTGCTCTCAGATCCGGAAGAAAAATACGTACATAGAGTGTAGGTAAGCTAATTGGGAGGGATGTTACCAGAAAGGCTTTTTTCTTGTGGTGGATGAACAATATCAGAAAAAATGTGTATTTTTTATTCGTCGGAGCGGCAATGCCTATCACTCAGTGGCGGACTGCACTACGAAGATATTCTGATGCCAAACAATCCACAGTGATATAGTGAAGATTTATTAATAACAACTTTCTGCACGGCTTCATACATTTAATTATAAAAATATACGATTTTGATGAGTGTGACCGCCTAACAACTGCTCAACGAGCGCAATCCAAAGAGCACCGGGCGATGATTTATCGGCTTGAGATTGAATGATTATGACGGTGACGTTACAGTTCACAGTGGATGCTGTGGTGACTAATAGACGAATAGATATGCTTGGGAAATCTCCCAATTTTACTTTACCAAGACGGTAAAATGTCGATATTCGGGAAGTAATTGGAAAATATGAAGTTCTTGACAATGTCTTTACAAATCACATATTACGGTATTGGGCCGGTTTCGTGGTCTCGACAGGAACTTCGCTTATCCTGAAAAAGGCTATAGTTAGCGATTCAAAACCCAAACTGCAAAAGTAAGTTTCCAAATCGCATTCTCATCGCAAAAGCTAGGCATGATCATTTTGAAATTTAGCCCGTTCTTGTGTACGTATTTGGTTCCAAAAAGTTTTGATTTTGTGCCCATGGAAGTTACAGTGGCATAGGAAAAGGGATATGGTATAGGTCTGGCTACAAAGCTGCTTCTAATGGCCGGAAACCACTAGTAAAATCATGGGGTCCTCGTAAAGGCACGATTTACACGATATGACCACTAAATTACTATATATTGAGCTCTAAAAAATTTTTTGTTTTTATGCTCAGAAAATGTTCCTCCGATTCGATTACATGTAACTAACCATAAGAAGCTGAGAAAGTAGCAGAAACGTCGCTTTACAACTACATATGTAAATCCCAACGTGTCTGCACTCAGGATTCAAGATAATCCAAATGTCTAGAAAATGGGATCCATAAATTCAGAGATATGTAGGTATCAGGAGGTCAAAACTCATCGAAAGATGCTCATATCTATGGGAAAGGCCTACTTGGCTTCAAGCATATTCACTACCTACAGGGTATCCAAACTCCTATAGTAGCCTATTGTAGTTGGCTTCGAATTGTCGTCTACTGAAGTGCTCCGCTAGCTATGGCTCTCAATTTCATTAGTAAGGCGTGCATGAGCCAGAATTGTAAGCTCATTGAAGCTTCGGAAAAAGTCAGAGGCATATTCACTTTAATTCAGCGACTGCCTAGGGTCGGGTTATTCAAGGTTCATGTTCATGTTCATTGAAACTGGGACTATCAGCTTCCGTTCTTACTTGCTTCTGAGTTTGTGATTCAGACTATCGAAGAAGCCATCTATACCACAGTACCACAGAACCTTTTATCTGCCCTCCTTGTCGGAAAACAATTTTTGCCGAATTTTCTAATGATTTTGATTAACACTCACGGTTTCTTTTCGACAACATGAATCTCCTTCAGTTGTCCATCCGGATTGCGGTCATCAAGTATCTGAAATCTCGTGTTCTCAATGTAAAGGCTGGCTGTCATAGTTTAAAAAAAAATTTGAAGGCACAATTCGCGATGATTTTGAGGTATTCAGTTTTGGAAGAGTAATGGAAGTGATACTCCAGAAGAGGGTAAAAAAGACGAAGAAAACGAGAATATCGGCGTATTGAATATAAGGCTTCAAAGAAGTAGTAAAACTAGGGGTCAGACGAGAATGTGCTGACAAAAGTTGCATGGCGAGAGTGTTTGGTCGAACTATCCAAATGTGCGTGCCACTGCCTACAGCTGGCAAGCAACAGTACGCTGCCAGCATGCAGTGTGTGGGTCCCGTCGCGAATGGTGCAACACCTACAGCATCTGCAACGCCGTGAAAACCCGTCTGAATTCAGCTTCGGCTTTCGCTTTAGGCTGAGCCGGTTTTAGAGCCGTTACAACGCCCTGTTTAGGTCGTTCTTCAAGCTGGCAATGTTTCACGTGCTACTTTTGGAAGCACAGGTTTATCCCTACGAGAAAAATCCCGACGAACACTTTTTGCTCTGAACTCCGCCTTCAAAAACAAACAAAGTGAAACGTTTCTACGCATAAAAGGTACGCCGTCAGTAGCGTCACAATGAGCACCCTGATTATTTTTGGCTCCATACAAAAAACAAAGCGAGAGCAAGGATTATTTCAGATTTCAGGGCTCGGAAAGGTTTTCCAAAAATCTAGCATCTATTTAGGAAACAGAGATTGCGTAAAATGAAGGGGATAATATTTAGTCTTGACATGTATCCGTCTCTGGTTGAGAAATGGAGACCATATAAGGAGGAACAGGTAAAAAATATTACAAAGAAGATATAACGTGGGAGGCATTGCCCTAATTTAGAAAAACAGATCATTATTAAGGTTTGAGGGTTTTTAGTGGCATTTCTAAAACGCTACAAAAGTATGGAACTCGTCCACTTGGAGCTCACCATCAGTCGTCAGCAGACCCTTGTACAGTTGCCTCCCTTATGCGTTTTAGCCCGGCCCAAGGACCAAAATGTTGATCAGCATTGAAGGCACAGTTCACGATAGCTCTGAGGTACTCTTTTTAGATTGAAAAGCGGAAGTCCGATATAGAGGAGTACACCGGCGGTAAAGAAAGCGAGAAAATTCGTCCACTTCAAGCTTTTGAGAAGTGGTGGAAGTAAAGGTTGTACGAGTCACCGCGACAAGGATGGCATTTAAGGGGTTTTTGGATTTATTATAGCTTGCTATCATCGTGCAAAGAGCTAACTACATCAAACCATAACTGTCCAGAACTGCCCTTCAGGGTCGCCTTGGGTCACAACAAGTTCTTTGAACTTCCTACAATGGCTCCCCTGTGAATGGTGCAGCTTCTACAAAGCCATTGGAGCTCGCCCACCAAGGGTGTGGCATTCACACGACACAATCTCTGGTTCCTTATTGTGACCTATCCAGGACGTTTTTCACCCTCATAGCGACAGGTATGGCATGAGGGGGAGCGAGCCTCAAATTCATACTATAGGGAAATCTCAGAAACCGTTTTTATCGTGAACTGTGCCATTAAGCAGTTGGAGAATGTAATGAAGAATGTAAGGAATCAATCAGAAAGAATAGCTCAACGTTCACATAAATCAATGAATACTGCCACTAACAAGCCACTGAGGATGACGGAGAGATCTGTATAAAGAAAAGCCTACGAATTACATACATGTACCAGTATGCCTTGAAATGGAACGCAAAACACTTTTACTTCTGCTTCCAAAAGAGAACACAATGTCTTATCAAAAAGCCACCTTATGGATGTATGTGGTTTCCGGATCGTCAGGCATGTGAAATCCTATGAAAAATTCATACATCCAAGCGCCAAGTACTGCTCCAATCATTGGACAGATTATCGGAATCCAGAACCATTTGTACGAGCGGTAGCTGTAAGATGAGAGGTTTTAATCAAAGGAATGAAAGCGTATTGAAGGGTAGATGAAAATTGTATGGAAACCTCTCGAACTGAGTTTTAGGTCACCTCAATGGAAAGTTCGCAAAGTTGCAGCTCAGGCAAATGCGGTGAAACGGGTTTTCATATTTTTTGTTGAAAAGAGTGCGACACACCCAAGCTGTGAGAAGCATGGCATGGTCATAAACGAATTAGGGCTTTTGGTATTTGTGTGCTGCCTGTCATTTATGAAGAAAAACTGTTGATACTCTTTGGCAAACGGTATTTTTATGGAATTGATTTGCCAAAACATCACATTCCGGGACATTATAGCGACATTGAGCGTAACTGACTGTGACGACACCTGACTCTGAATAAGTCGCTCTTGTGCACACTCGTCTTCCGTACCCATTCGAATGCGATGCTCGTGACTTTGAGTTCAGTGCGCAAACCCATCCGTGACTCATCTCTGACCAAGATCGGCTTCAAAAGAGACGAGCGAACACTAGTAACTTCACCATGACCTTTTGCTGTGTTCGTTGTTCCTTCCCTTAGCGTGGGCATCCCTATTTCAACATTACCCTTAGGGAATGATGTGTCGCGCAAAAGTTGATTCACTTCATAATGAGTTCAAGCGGCCAGTTTTCCTTCCACGACACCCCATTTGGAAAATGCAAGGTGATTTTAGATGCTCATGTTTCTATGATGAAATTGGGCAGTGGCGTAAATAACGTACTAGCTTCCGGTCAAAACAATCTCGACCGGAGGAGCATTTTTCCTTTTTTCACCATCCCTTCACTTTTGAATGAGATGACCTAAAATTTCTCAGAGTGCAAAGAATTCCTACTAGTGTTCAATTTGTTAAAATGGCGTACGATTACCTGAACACACGCCAACCGTAACCAGCGCAAAGAGTGAAGAGCCTCGGTCCAAAATCACGAGCAGGATTTATTGCGTAACCTGAAGCATTTTTTCTAGAGTCTTCAGAGCAAAGTGTGGCAAGATAAATCAGTCTAGAAGTTTGTCCGCGTTCATGCAGCTCTTCCAAGTCGTTAAAATTCCGTACAAATTACGATCGTTCTAATTAGATGGTGCACAACAAAGTGCAGAGGATTTTGGCTCGATTGACCTAAGTGTTCACGAATGTTGCCAGTTTTCACAGCGACAGAAATGTTTCTAGTTGCGTAGTAGGTTTTGAAATAGGTGCAGATATATTCCAAGAGATTTATTATTTTTAAAAATTTTCCCCAAAAAGTGGTTGATTCTGAAACATTTGGCTTTAAGGAGTTCTAATTTGTGAGTTTTACAGGAAAAAATCAACAAGAATCCTTTTCAGAAAAAACTTCTAGGAGGCCTTCATGATCTCGATGTTATTTGTCAAAGATCCCTTCAAAATCAAGGGATTTATATTGCTCCTCAAAATGTAATTGCGTGCCTTGGTGGTTTTGAGAGGATCAACAGAGTTTTACTTAACCTATCCTGCTTTACTCAAAAATATGTAGACTGCAAAAAGCAAGGGACGCGATTCGGTATTGAAATTGAGTTGAACGCTGTTATCAATTTTCCGCTGCCTTCACGTCTCATGAAATTTCAGCGATACTAGGGCGAGAACCATCCGCAGCTTTAGAAATAATGTCACGAAGACGTTTACAAACACTTCTCAACTTTCTACTAATGTTATTTTCACCTGCGTTTAGTGCGAAAGACATTCCTATCGTCGCCAAAAGCGTTCCAATGAAAGCCGGCTGTAGGAAAGGTGGTATACGATTACGTCGATCCGTGATTATTGCTACACCCAAGCACAGGACGGCAGTGCCGGCAATCTGAATATCAATCTGTCAATGACAGTTTCGGTGGAGGTTCACTGACACAATGCTAATTCTTGTTCCTACCACCTAATAATCTCGTTTACTGTACGGCCACTTCGGATAAGGCCGAGATACTGAATTACATTACGGTCAGCTGGTTAGTAACAGAGTCTAACTATGCATCTATGGTTGCAATATCCCGCAACTAGTATGAGCATCAGATCCCCCTTTATTAACATTGTTAACGGTTGTGGAAGTGGATGGATAATTAGGTTGGTGAAGAGGCTACGAAATGGTTGAAGCCGACCTCTCAGTCTCTCTGCAAAGCAGCCAAGTTTATATGATCCTATAAGCATGTATTTGAACGCTCGTTTGAGCGTGGACGTAACTCATTTGAGGCGATACACTCGCCTTTTTGTATGTCATGTTCGAATGTAGAGCTTTCTCGTATTTAATACCTGAATTTGACCCTGTGCTTAGATTGCCTTGAAACTTTTTTGGTGCAGTGCATAGCTTAAGAACTGACTTTCTCGTTTATGAGAAAATTTGGGCATACCTGGTCAACAACGCCTCCAAAAGTGCTTAGGTGGGGTTGAGGATAGGTGGCGAATATGTGAGCGGTTGAACGTGGTCCCGACACATAGCGAGTGCCATTGTCGAAACTGCTGATGCCATCTAAAGATGTGCTTTCCATAACTCCAAAACCCCACTCTGTTGAGGACTTTTACTTTTTTATAGAGTAGGACAGAGCAATTACAAGAAAAAAAAGTAAATATACTAGAGGCGCTGTAGTGACAAGTGGCGCACTATTATAGACGCATGGTCACGGATTCCAATCACGGTCTAATATCCGCTTACAACAAACAGCCGAGCCTTCCACCTCTTAGAGGCCACTTCATTGACGCCAAACTTGCTCGGGAGGATAAAAGCACTGATCGTCTATGCTGACCGGCCTCCCCAAGCATCGTATAGGCCACATGCGCATTCAATCAGCCACTGCATACGATTGTGAATGGAAATCGGAGGGACTTCCTCGGACGGGATCGAGACTTGATCCTTTCTCATAAATACTATAAGCTAAAGTGTTTGCTCGTTGGCTGACAAGATTTCATATTCTTCTCGGTAAAGCTAGCGGTGAGAAGGTGAGGGACTGGGAAGAGAGAAACGAGAGGAACGATTTGCGGATAACGCTAAGAGAAATGGCAAAACTGACGTTTGTTTTATTGTTGCATTTATTATAGCATAAGGAAAGTTCTAGAAAAAAGAACAGATTTGCGAATTGCGGCAAAACGAAAGCAATTGTTCGCAGAGCTTTTTCTGGTGCTCATGCTCGTCTCTGTTCATATTTTATGTATGATATGAAGGAATCACATAGACCTGCTCCAGAAAATATCCATTCTTACTGGCAAACACCTGAAAAGCATGCAAGATGGATAGAGTTAGAGCATCAAAAGTTAGACGTTCCCAACTTAGTGCCACTATATGATGCAACTAAGCCCTTTTCACAACATTACCGAAGCGCTTCAAATTTCGTCAACTGTGGGAGATTTGGAGATTACATTGTTGATCACACTCCATAATGGCAATTCTTACCGTAGTAAACGATGAATGTTCCTAGAGCTCCTAAAAAGGCGCCGATGTTCTGCGCTGTAGAGAAGACGACAAACCTTGAAAGGACCTCTCATCATATGACGGAAAATATGAGAAAGCCTACAAGAAGCTTTGAAGAATCACCCAATATAACGACTACCTCAATCCGCTGATCTTTCCCTGTGTGAGAAGGAAGAACGAAACAGCTGGGTTCAAATGTCCACCTGAAATGACAGAGGTTATATTCTGAATATGATTCTTTGACTAATACTACACCCCTTCAGACATTTTGCTCCGAGATATTCGATGTGGCCAACTCTGAACAGCAGAACGTGCTGTACAACACGGGTCCGGAATCTTCTCCCCGAAAGCGGCGTCACGCACGCCGCACCCGCCGCGTACCGCAGGATTGCGATGGAAGATTGGAGCACGCAATTTGTGAGGTAGGGGGTCCTTTAATTACTTGAATTGGCCGGCCGCTCTCCTCAATTCCAATGCGATCTTGATCGTCGCTAATATAGGAGGAGTCATTCTAACTAATAAATTAATAAACATAAAAACGAAAAACAAACAGGCGATCAAACTCATTAAAAAAGAAAGGCAATAGAAGAAGTTCCGTTACCCTGTACAACACAATGCCGCTAAATAGGTTTGAGTGACGTAAAAGCTGGTCGGTAGAAGGGATTCTGCTCATTTTACGATTTTGTTTAGGATCTTGCATCCTGACGACCGCAAAACCAGTGAAAAATGGTTTCTAAGGATGGAACTTTATCTTTTTCTATCGGGGCAGCATCAAATCATCTCGGTGGACAGTCGAAGTTAACTGGGAAGACATCATAGTTTCGAATAAGGTGTTTGGCTGCTTATCAACACCGGATACCTAGCTAGGCACACCCGAACACCGTACAAACTTTGAATTCTCTTTCCTTGGCGAACTTTTTTACTAGGTTAATGATGGAGTGAATTGAATTTTTGTTTCGGAAGGTCGCTCCTTGGAAGAAGCCGGGACTAATTAGTGGTTGCACATTCTGTGGTTGACTGTTGCTCAGAATGAAATACAACTTTCGCTCTCTGTTTTACTCCGAGGGCGAAGCTTACAAGCAAAATGTTTCGTGAAATTTTAAGCTATAATGGAAGTGCGTCCCCCAGAAATGGCAGGAGGGACATTACCACTCTGAAAAACGACCTCGATAGGGCGTTATAAAGGCTCCTAAACTGGCTTGGTTGACGTACACACCCAAAACTGGCCTTGTTATGACGGCCTTGTTATGGCTTCATCGTTCAAAATAAAGCTTCAGGACACCGAAGAATAGTACGCTTATGTAAGAGGCACTCATACGCTTACAGGCACTTCCTGTACCCTTTCCCCCTTCTTACTACGATTTGAAGGCAAATATTTCTTAGAATCCGCCGATTTTTGCGCTTCCCTCTCTACTTGCACTATTCACCATGACTTCAATTATTTGGCCAGATACTTCATAACTATTGTGAACAATGGCTCTGGTCCAAGTCTGAGGACCAGTGTGGTCAACGCTACTGACCGTTATTGAGGGCCTTCCAGGAGCTGTGATTATGCGGTATATGCCATCCTCGACGCCTCCCCTGTACAGTTTTCTGTGACCGTTGCAGGCTAAGGGGTCTGGCTGAGAAGTATAGAAATGCAGCCTACCACCACTCGTAAAATTGAGGGAGAACTAGCACACAGACAAAGGCATTATATTCATATAAGCTTACTATAGGCACCTTACCTGAGATACGAAAGCTCATCTGTACAGCGAACAGCAATACAAGACCCCAACCAATGGCCACAGCAATCCATTCGTTCGTCCGCCGCTGCGATAACACGAACTGTGCGTTTACCGAGCATCCGCCGAACTGGAAAAGTTATGATTTTCGACAACATAACAAACAATATGAATAAGCTCTGATAGGAATAGAGATCTTGGCTAGCATTAGGACCAGGCTGGGTTTGTATAACTCCGCCGTTGCCGGTCCCAAGCCCGGATTAGAAAGGAGGAGGGTTGGTGCGAAGGGCCGGCGACCCTTCCACCGTAAAAAACTTCAGTGCTAAAGAAACGACGAAACATATATCTGTTGCTTTGAGGGAGCCAAAGTTCCGCTTTATGACGGA